TGTTTGTACATAAAAAATGGCTTAAGCGTTTTAATTACATTATCCAAATTAAATGTATCGATGATCGCATAAAATAACCGCTTAGTGTCATGAAAAGATAAAGTGCAAAATGTACGAAAATAGCGTATGTCCTGCGAGTATGAGCGAAACGATCCACATTTACCTGCGTCAATGCACGCGCGTTACTCACGGCCCATAAGTGCACCCACGTTTGTCGCAGCGTCCGTAAATGCGTGTGCGCAAACGCGTGTAAACACACCGCGATCGCACGCACGCGGATCGTTTGAATAATGTGACGTGCAATTACCGGCAACGCGACCGAACGGGACGGTGTGATTCGTTTTTCCTTCCTGTATATCATTCGCGGTTATTTAAGCTCCGTGTGATAACATCCGCATTTACTTTGTGCACGTGTAACTAAATTACGGGCGGAATTATTCGTCGAAACGGATAAAGAGATAAAATATATAACGGTGAATAAATTATTTAATCGTGGTACATTTACATCTATATGTATATGTATGTACAAATGTATTACGATCATAGTTGTATAATTACATTAAATACCATTTAAACAAGTTACTACCAAGAGAATTGATTTTAATTAATTTGATTATCAATAATTTTTATATCTGTATTAAATTTTAATATTTATATTTAATATCTATATTTTTTTATCCTTTTTCTCGCCTATTCTTTTTTATTTAAAGAATATTAAGAATTCTACTTTATTAAACGATTCATTAATACTTTAATGCGGCGCTTCATTATACATGTACGATAAATTTGAATTTTGTGCCAAGGTCAGTCCTCGAATAGTAGAAGAAGATATATCCGATTTAATATCCGATTTAAAATGTGAGGAATACCAAATTTTATTTTAACTCTTCTATTAGTTCTTTTAGTAGAAATCAAGGATAATTTATTAACTTCTATATCCCTCTATTTTTTTATTCTTTCAAAAATATATAAAAAATCAAATATATAAGCCATTCTAAAAATTATTAAATTAATCAAGAAATAAGTGGACAATGACTCCGACAAAGTTTCAATACCTAGAGACTAGTCGCTACTTCGGCTGAACGGAAGCGATAAATTAGCCAGAGGACACACAGAGATCTTCTATTAATATTCCAGATTTCCCCACTTTCTCTATCCGTTTGTCTCACTCGTCTCCAGTTATATCGTGCGAATTTGTCGAGTGTCCATTAAATCTGGACGAAACTCCTTGTTTTCGTATACGTCATTTTCGATAAGTGAAAGGAAGAGATTTCCTTCTCATGGGTAATTCCAGATCGGAGTGAGATAGTAGTATATATATAGTTACTATATCATTTATTTGGAAACTATTTTCAAAGTATATCATTTTATTATAACTATAATTGTTTGAAGGAAACAAAAAATATTTTAAACTGTATATTGCGTTGTTATTAATAAATTTATAAAAATCACATTTAAAAACAGATGTCCTATTTCTTATTTTCGAGTTTGAATTATGGACACACTAACTAAAAGGCTCAAAATGTTTTTAAACTTTTTTTTCTTTATTTTATACATTGTTGTATTTTGTTTATTTTAAACATTGGATTTTTCTTCGTTGTATATGATATAGATATATAGACATATTAAGATATATATACCTCAGAATAAAATAAATACGAAAAAAATTATTTATAATCAACTAATTGAAATAAGATTGTGATCTGAAATTATAATCTTTTTCACGTAGATTTTTGACATTTTTAATACACAAGATATTGAATATCAAATCTCTCATTAAGATTAAATCGCACATAATAAAGTTTTAAGCATCTACTTAATTGTATTATAAAAACGCAATTATACGCGTATCTAGCAAGTATTGTGACCTGTGATCCGAAAGAAAATGAATGTGCGTTTTTTCTAAAAACAAACTCCACCATATCTCTTACCGGGGATTAGACAAACGCGATAAATGCACGCGAGCGAGATAGTTAATTGCGCGGCGCAAGTGTTAGATTCGCAAAGACCATTCGGAATTTAACGTTCCATCGTCGGATACGCGATGTGCGTGAAGATTGTGCGATATTAATTACACCGATCTTCGACCGTGCATGTAGCTGTCAAATTCTTTTCGTGCTTAAACACATATACGCGTGTGCGCATTATTTCCTCGCACTCAAGCATACGGAATGGTAAATAAATATCGTGTATACAACGCGGAAATAATCGATGCACGCGAGATGCCCGCGAAATACGCGCTATTATCGCATTCGGATCTCAGGAACGGTCTGTGTACGGAAATTAATGGAAGTACTACGGACTTGCAATTGTCTCACAAGAAGCGTTAAAATAACTTTATTCAAAGGAACTTGGCAATTTTTCTCACATTACATACGAGCTGGAAACCAATTCCATAACTGTTTTTCTTATTTCAAGAAATAAAAAAACACGAAAGTATTTAATTAATTAAAAATCAATTATTTAATCCCAATATTTTTTCGCGTTTGATGAAAATCTAGAATCACAAATATATATGTCATATTAAAACAATGAACATAAATAATATATGTATATAAATAGTATATGTAAATCTTATTGTCAATTATTTTTATTACTGATTTACATTTTTAATTTAATAAATCAAAATTAATAATTAAAAAATTAACATTAATTTTAATTATTAATAGTTAATAAATTATTAATTTTATTTATAAATATTAATTATTTAAAATGGCAAAATATAAAAACATGTTGAATAAGATTCTTTCGTAAGAAACTTTTAACTAAAATAAAAAAACACGAATAATTAAGGATTTATAAATCTAACTTGAAATAAAATTTAATTTTAGATTCAATTGATAATAATGAGATATATATATGTGATTTAAGATCTTTATGTTAGAGATCCTCAAAATTTACAAGCTTTAGACATCGAAAAATCATCATCTGTCCCTATCGGCTCGTCCATTTGTGCTTTAAGACATGGACAGACTGCGCCGGGACACGCTAATATCGCAGATGCACGAGATGGAGGTTCTTAGTCACCGCGGGACATTATGGTAATGCACGCGTGGTTGCGCAACACGGTAATGCGGTTACGATTCATTAAGCCGCGCTCACAGGTGGTGGCGACGAAGGCAAGCTGAGAGGAAAAAGCGCGGCTCTTGTCCGACACGGAATCCGTCGAGCGAAACGACGAAGCTGTTTCTCTCTCTTTCTCCCTTTCTTTCTCTTCCTCTCTCTTCGTGGCAGTTCTTCCGACAGGATAATTCGTCCTTTTCCTTTCTAGCGCATCGAGTTAAGCTCGAATCTCGAGCAAACCGTCTCCCGGGGAAATGCGCGCGATTCGCAATGCATCGCGTTGGCAACGTAACGCAATGATTCATACGCGGAAAGAGATCCGCCTCGTTGGAGCGAAGCGCGAGAAAGGCTATCGGTACAGAAATCCCGACAGGAATTTACGCCATGTGCGTCTGGCGAAGAACTGTCCGTCTGCGAAGGTATCTACTCGTTTGTTCAGTACAGTGTTGAGTCATTAAAAGACAGATTTTTCGCATTTTTATTATAGAAAGGAGAGTCATTCTCATCATTTCTCGAGCCTTAGACGATCATCGGACTGACATCTGGCAAGCTTCAATGCCAAATGACAATTTCTAAAAGACAAACAAGGCTTCACCAGACTCATCGTAATAAAAGCGGTTCTGCATTTTTCTTATAATAATCCAACACTATATTTTAATATTGCGGTTGTTCGCGACGAGAGCTAAGATAAATTATAATGCACGATACTGAGATGCAATGCGCAAAACAAAAGTTTATCGAAAATGATTCATATTTTCCTCACGTCATCGAAGAAAATTATATATATATATATATATATATATATATATATATAAAATTAATATGTTAACTGATAATCTATTCAAATGATAGTACCTATTCAAATAATAATGACAAAATTTTAGAAATGTTTTGTTGATAATTTTAAAACTGAACTTTAACTTCAATTTTGATTAATATGCGAAAAATTAAATGTGCGACAACAAAATAATTACTTCTAGATAAATTTCTCGTTAAGGAATCATTTATTTCAAACTCATTCAAGAATATACCGTTGAAGGATTGTTCTGACGTATTCGATGAAATATTATAAAATAAAGATGAGATTGTTTTACTATTGGACGCTGGGAAAAACACACGAACGCAACTTTGATGAGACGTTGATTCATCGTCTACAATAAGGAAGTAAATCGCGCGATTCTCGCATAGAAGGATCTCCTACTCATCGCGAAACCGCTAAAACCGCAAAACAGAGGGTAATGGCGCTTGTCTGAGGGGCAAGACAATCAAGGACATTGCTAATTTCAAGTAAATACATCATTGATTAACTTTCTTTATGATTAAATGAATAAATTTCACATTTCATTATATATATATATATATATATATATATATATATATATAATTTGTATTTAATCATAAAGTTAATCAATAGTTTATTGGTCTGAAATATATTTTTTATCATTTTTTCACATTTATAAATTTCAAGCAACTTGTATATCTTATAATTAATATATTATATTATGTAATAAAATATTAAACTGTGCCAGTAAATAAATAAATCGATCAATAATAATACATCGATAATAAATAATATTCTAAACTTCATAGATGTTGATAACAATAAACCGTAAACAATTATACATATTCTAAGATTAAAACATATTAAATTTGTCTATTTAAACCTGCCTATCAATTTCGAGGTAGTGGATTTATATAAAAAATTAATAGAAAAATATATAAGATTATGGGTTTACATTCTCATTAATTTCCTTTTTAATTTTTCTTTAATATAACTACATAAAAATAAATTATAAATTGAGGCAATTTATGAAATAAACTAATATAAATTATTTTATTGCTGCAGCTGTCATAATCATTATAATTTTCGTAAAAATCCACATATCTCAAAATTCTATAAAATATGTCAAAATTATATCAGAAACAATCCAACTCACCGGTACGATGCGCAACGGCGGAGTTGTAGTGTACACAACGTTGATCTGCAAAATACAAGTATATCCAAGTTATATATATAAAGCGCAAAGTTAAAACAATTAACATTTCAAAAAATAATTATATTATGCAATTGAATTTTTCGCTTTGTCCTTTAAACATATATTTAATTAAAAAAATTATAATGCTTGAAAAAATTCTTTCTATCTTAACTTTTATATAAAATATATAAGAAGTACAAAATTTACTTCTTTTATAATTTATCTAATTATAAATTTCTCTTAAACAATGTTAAAATAATATATCTTTATAAAAAAATATTAATTATTATAAATATCTCATCAAGCGTTTAAAGTTCTTTTCTTTAATAAAATTTAAGCTTTGAATATGCATTACATAATAATATAAAATATATTATTATCGCAGAGATAAAAAAGCAATCAATTTCACAAAAAGAACAAACAATAAACAAGTTATAAACTATACTGCTTACTCCATAATTGCCGTCATCCGATGTCTTCCCTTTCTCCTCGCTTCATCTTTTGTCGTTCGTTCATGGCACTTTTTCAACACTTCACTCGCAAAAACACATTATATGCATGCGCGCACTAACCAACAGAATACGACGATCACGCGATTACTTTGTATTGTACTCTCAATGTTAATCGCACACGACACACACTTTATATTACGACGAGAATAAATACGCGAAAATTACGTCACACGAAATTACATGATACGAAAATTGTGCGACTAGTTCAGGCTCCAACTCGTTACATCTATCATTAAGATTAGGACGGGCTCATATTTTAGATAACTGTTCTCTCGATTAATAAATGAGAATTAATTAAAGCTAAATGTCCGAATGTAGTCCGAGAATACTTTATCGAACTTTGTCATTTACATGAAAAATTATGATTGAATAAAACTCGGGAAATATGCGTTTTGACAAATTACGATATACAAATGCCAATTTTAAAATATGTAAATAATATAAATTAAAATACGGAATTAATGACGACTACGCTTATATTAATTAAATGCATCGCGTCATTGTTCGATTCGTGTTCGCATAACTTTATTAATTTCCTCGAAAAATTCAAGAATGACATTGACGATCTCACTCTAATACCGCGAAATATATTATGCGAGTTGAGTTAATAAATGATTAATAAAGATGTAAATATCATCCGAAAATATACAATCAGAATTCGGAGTATTATATATGTAATAATTATATTAATAATAAACAATTTGTACGCATATCAATATATACGTATATCAGTATTGTTATTTTTTATTATTTAAATTATTTGATTTTATGACTTGTCTTATTTTGATTTAAGATTCGAAAATGAGCAAATTAAACTATCGAAACATTCAAAGTGCGATACGCGATACATGCCCAGTGTCTAATAAGAGAGAAATAAAACAATAATTTATTTGTTATTCTCTATCAACACGCTCTTGAAGCGTTAATCGCGAGAATTAATTAATCGCGCAAGGCTAATAATCTTCAATTAATCATAAAGAACGATCGCGATTTGCTAGTATTCTTCGTGATCGCGTATTTCAAAAGATAATACGATAATAGCACGAGCGGTTGACGCTGCTGCCTACCGGCCCGAGTCTCGGTACACGACTAACTACAAGGATACGGCATGTAAATAATAGAGCGCTACACCACGCTATTGTTTACATGCCGCAAGAAACACTGAATACCGTGTGGAAATTTATACACACACATTTTTTGCCACGTACAACATAATATTATACCTAACGTGTTACTTGGTTATTATATTTAACATGCTATAAAATAAATTCAAAATATCGTTAAATAATTTTGAATTTTAAATTAATTATTAATAAATGTATCATATGATATTTTTCGATACTTTAGTCATTAATTTTATGATTCATATATTACTATGCAATATCCGAAAATTCTTTATTTGTAATTTAGCCAAATTTTTTTGGATTGAAAGCAATAGACGAATTGCAAAATCGAATGACCGAATTTTAAAGTGTGAAACTTTAATATATAAAATAAACTTTAATGTATAAATTTTAATATATGAAACTTTATTACATAAACCAGTTACTTATAATTAAATTTCCTGAAATACGCGATCGCGATAGATACTAAAAGATGACTTGCAATTAATTCTATAATATATTATAATTAGCTTATAATTGGCTATCATCTCGTATGATTAAATAATTTTCACACTTAATAATTCATAAGTGTGTAAAGAAGAGATATAATTTTATATTATTTATTTCCTTCTAATATTTAAAATGATAATTATTTCTTTATTGCTTAAAATATATTTCGCATCGTGCTATGATATATTTTCGCTGATTTAAATATAATTTGCTCATTTCCGGATCGCGAAAACAGAGTAATAAAATACACATATCAACGAACCGAATGATTCAAATGACAGGAAGTCATGATATTGTCTACCGTTTATTAATATTACAATTATTTTGAACTGCATCACTGTAATATTAAATTTTAATTGTATATTTTCGGATGATATGATATTATATCTTAATTAATCATTAATTAAACTCGCTTAATATTGTACAATTTAAGAATGCTGTTATTGTGTCATTCTTGAATTTTTCGGTATTTAATAATGTATTACTATAAACGAGATAAATGAAATTCTGGCGATATCAGAACGCGATAATTAATTAATAATAAGTACGATAATTTATTTTTCTATTTATATAAATTTGACATTTCTACATCGTTGTAATTTATCAAAACTGTATATTTCATAAGATATTCATTCAAAGTTAATAGATTATGCGAATAATAGATTGTGCGAGTAATTGATAAACTTAATTATTTTTGAATATTGCAATCCGCGAGTATTTATTTACTTGTATTATAATACGAGATAGTAATATTGTCCTAAAATACGAACCTGTATTATTTGCTAACAACAGAGATACCATTGACAAGTTGAAGCGTGAATTTGGTTGCACAATTTTCGAGTACCGAATGAATTGTAGCTTCGTATGATGCGTAGTTTCATGTGTCGCGTTATTGTTCCAATACGATATATCAAAATGTGTGTCGCACGCGTTTAACATACAAAACAAAGTGCGGCGTGGTTCTCGTATTCTATTGTTTAATATGTGCATAATCGTAATTAATCGTGTTTTCGCAAATGACTGAGTAAATGTGTGAGTGCTATGAAGAAGCGAAGAAGAATGAAAAAGAGAGAAGAAGATAATCTGAAAGCATCGAGCGATGATGGAACAATGGAATAAGTAATTGATAATTAACTTATTATTAGTTACTTTTGTAAAGTTAATTATAATAATTGCTCGTTTATCTCGTTGCAGTAATTCATTTTGCATTATATAATATGCATATAAAATATTTTATTTTCTAAAATATATTTACAAAACATTTATTAAAATATCAATAATAATTTATGTATATAAATGTATATATATAAATTTGCATACAAAAAGATATAAATTATTTCAACATTGTTTAAAAGATTTATCATTATTTAGATAAAATTTATTAATAAATTTTTATTTCATAAATATTTTATAAAAATTGGAGACAAAAATTTTTTCGAGATTTACGTAATTATTTATTAAACATTTGTTTAAAGGACAAACATAAAAAATTCCAACAATAATTATTTTTTATAATATCAATTATTTTAAACACTGGTTCATATATATATACACATTTGGGTATATTTATATTTTATACGTTGTATATTATAAGTCTACTATATTGTGTATTGTGTGTGTGTATCAAGATGAGTATTACTTTTTTATTTTATATAATTTTTCGAGATAATATTCGAAATTTTATTTTAAAAATATTAATAATTTATTTTATAATTTGTACCACACATATCTAAATTTATTATTCATTTTCATATAATTAAAAGAAAATTCTTGTTGACAAGAGTGTCATAAATAATTTTAATTTCATAAGTCGTATCGATGTGTTAAGGAGATAAAATAGATTAATATATAAATTTAATTTTGGAATGTAATAATATTAAAAATCTACTAAATTTTGGCTTCTTTATTTCTATCTTAAATATTATACAAACTAATGCAATTGAAATAATGTATGCAGCTAGTCAATAATTAGTAAAAAAATGGTGTGTATTATATGTAATGTCATGTTTAAGTCCAAATTTTTATAGTCGGTTCACTCATATCTACCAATTTATCTCTGCCTATTTACATGCGCATACACAAAATTATTCATCAGCACGAATCATTGGGCGTCTTTAACGAGATGCATTGCAAGGAAATCTTTATTCCGATAGGTGGGCGACAAATCTCGTTTCTCTTTTGAAGGGATGAGCTCGCGGGAGCGACAAGCGACAAGCGGGAATCATTTATTGTGCGAGCTCGATTAATCCTCCACCATCGCCAATCTCGAGAACCGCTCGGTCGGCAATCGCTCGTCGGGGGTCGCCGAGTGCGGTCACACGAGCGTATCCCGGGGGTGGAAAGTTATGTTACGGTGTGTACCTGCAACTGTGGGGATAACTTGCCGTATAAATACGATTCCCGCTCGCAGCATTAGTGAGCGACGACGACACGAGTTACGTATTACTGCTTGTACGCGGCCGCGTTACGCGCGCACAAAAGCAATCCCCCAACGTGGAATTCGTACGTGCGAGGGACAGGATCCATATAATACAGTTCCCTTAAAATTGAATATACCGACAAAGAGAATACCTGAAATGCAATTTCAAACCGATCGTGTTGCCATCACGTGTGTCCGATGACAAAAGTGACGAAATTTTTAACGATGTTATAATGTAAAATTATAGAGATTCAAGATGTATTTATATCAAATTATAGAAAACAAATAAATAAAATAAATTAGAGAAAATAATCGCACAGAATATTTCTAAAAGTCAATATTAAAACTTAATCCTAAAAAGTTAGTTTCGAAAAAAAATGTCAGGCAGTTGTACAATTTATTACATTGTGGAATAATTTCTCAAAAAGTTAGAGATAGAAAAAATCGCTGCAGATTAAATTA